GGTTTTTTAATTAAAACAGAAATTAATTAATTATTTATTGAATAAGGCCATGTTGATTCAAAGCAATGACTAAATATTAATCGTCAAATTATTATTATTTTTTTTGGTTTTTCATTAAATAAACTGTCTCATATTAGAAACCATTTGGTTACATGTATTTTTTTTTTTTCATTTTTTTTTAACAAATTGGTTATATTTTAAAAAAATTTTTTAAAAAATCATAAGATATTTTTCAAAAATATAAATAAAAAAAAAAAAAAATAAAAAATAATGCACAAATAAACTCACCCCTAATTAATCACTTTTAAAACCAAATATGAAAATATGAAATAAAATATATTTACATACCAATACATTCATTCTAATTCCTTCAAACCAAATATGCCAATAACAAATTAAGGAAAACATCGACAGAAAAAATTATCAGATGTGAATAACATACATACAAAACAATCAATAAGAGCATTATAAACAATAGTAGTCAAGTACTGTAATATATTGAAGATCTTATACATATTAGAATATAAATACAATGAAGATCATCAAAGAGAACTATTGGCATGTTACTGTACATAAAATTTCATTGCAGATTGGTCTGCTGTTCTGAAAGATCTTCCAAAATAGTAGATGCAAGGGCAGTCATGCTTTGTACGTGCAGCAGCTGACTGCTTAATCTTCCCAGCCTGAAAAGCATGATTAAATTAATGATGGTAAATATTTTTTAAAATTTTGTGGTGCTAGAAATATAGGGATGGCTAAAACAGTAACGATTGGAGTTAGGCTTCATTTGGGATAGTTTTCTTACTATTTTTTAGGAAAAAAATTTCAAATTAAAAAAGATTTTATACTAGAGAAATGCTTACCAGGGAAAATAGTTTGGTGTTTCAAACTATGAACCTGAGGTTTTCTCTGATGTCGGAACCCTCAACCGGATGATAAAACAACCAAACTCATAACTCAAACATGAATAGTATCATCTATGATGATGAGAAAGATGAATAGTAACTTTCTTGTATAAACAAGAACCTGAATGATTACTCAACAACAAAATTTAACAAACAAGAACACAACAGAAGGGTTAGTAAAATATTTTAGTCATAGGCGACAGGGTTGTCCATTAAAGGCTTATTATTATTAATATTTACAAAGAGTTAGCGCACGGAATTAAAATAACATAAAATAAAAATATACAAAAAAAAAATGAACAGTAATAAAAACGTTCAGGCGGCTCAGTCAACCATGAACATAAAATAAAATTGTAAGAAAATAAAAAAGTTAGTAAGCAGCGGAAAATAAAATAAAATAAGAAAGAAACAAATGTTAGTAGTCAAACAACTTCAAATGGTCTGTTCTTCAAAGTTGTGTTCCCTGTTAGCAATCTTTGGAGTTCGAAGAAAATTATTCTTTTTTTTTCATATTTTATATGGTGATGATATTAACCAGAAGTACGCATATATTCATGAGTTTCTTTTGATATTCTAGTTTTATTCTGGAGTTCTTTTACCCTTTAGATTTACAGTCTAAAATCTTACAATATTATTTAAGTACTTTATAAAGTCTCACCCAAGCAGTTGATATTATAAATTTCGCTCAAACGGCCTCTTGCCTTAAACAGGAACCAAAGTAGGCATTGACTAAACCGATCTGTTGGTAGACTAAAAATAATACTTTCGGACAAAGAATCTCCGAATTAGAAAGATAATTATTTTCAAGGCTTAAGAAAAAACAAAAAGTAAAGGAAGAAAGACAAAGAAGACATGTAGAAAGATATAGATAGAAACTAGGATAAAAGGTATATTACAAACCTTGAGATGTTTTCATTCTCTACTCTAAGACTTGAACATAACTAGACAACTATTTATAAGAGAAAACTTTCTCTTTTTTTCTCTCTTACTTCTCTTCCTCTCTTTCTCTCCTACGAGCTCACTCTTCTCTCTGTATCTTTCTTAAGTTCTTCTCAACCTTACTCCTCTTTTTTATATCTTACAAGCACACTCTCATGTGTATTTATAGAGTTTATCCCATGATTACAAATTTAATTTTCATGGTTAAACACATCTTACCATGATTTAGAAGACTTAATTACAAATAATTATAAATAGTGACAAATAGTACTAAAGAAAACATCTTTGCCATCTTTCTCTTTCATGTTTTACTCTTGAAAGGAATACTTGGATGATGTAGATTTTTCATGTTGGGTAGAAGTTGGGTATTCATCACCTTCTAGAAGTATTATGTATGCATAGTGCTGTGGGACCCACCATAATTTCAAATTTGTCTTCAAAATTTTTACCTGTATAGTTAGAAAATACGTACCTTAGCTGTACTAGGCCTGATCATCATCTATTGTCAGTATTGTACATTGCATTTATGGTAGATCAAATATTTTCTCTACTCTTTGATTGGAATCATTTAGTTCCAATTTTATACTAATTCTACATTCTTAGTTTTATAGTCAAAAGTATAAAAAGGTTCCTTTACGCTAGACATTTTATTAAGGATTTGATCAAATACACCCAACCATTATACAACAAAATCTCTTTGAAAGGCACTAGAACTTTCAATAGAGAAGATGTTTTACTAGTACAGAAAACTAAAGATTTGATTTCAAAACTATCGGAACTAACTCTTCCTCTTGATTCATATTATTTAATCATAGAATTTGATGGTTGTGAACAAGTATGGGGAGGAATACGTATCAGATAACCAAATAAATTTTCTAACAAAAACAATGAAAAGATATGTAGATATGCTTTTGGAATTTATAAGGAGAAGTGATATCTTTGTTCTCTCGATTATGAAATTTTTACTATCATTTATAATCTTGAAGCATTTTATCTTTTTCATATGTGATAAAAATAAAATTTTCATTAGAATTGATTGTGAAGTTATTGTTAAATTTGTTAAGCAAAACAAAAAAGTTAGCAACACATTGAGCTCAAAAAGGTGGATAAAATTCGTTGATCATGTTATTAACAAAGGCTTATACATTAACTAGGAACATATTATAGGAAAATATAATTTCTATCAAAATCAGTTATCTAGACAACTAAATCTTGAAAAATTATCAAATTTGATTTTGATTGCTGATTATTTTAACGATGAATTTGATCTTATGAATGTTTCTGACAGATGAAGAACAAAGATAACAAGGGAAAACTCAGGTGAAGAAAAATAAAATTAATGCCTACAATTCTAAAATGAGAGAATGGTTAGATGAAAGATAGAAAGACTTCATTGAAACATATGGAACATAAAGACTAATCCTACTCATTTGATACAAAAGAAACTGATTATAAGTGTTTTAATCAAATACTTTTTATCAAAACCTAAAGAGAATCCTGATAAGAAATTCCTCAACTATGCCGTCTTTTTCTCTGCCCAAATCAGGAATATATGCAAGCTGAAGTGAAGCAGCTGAACAATTCAAAGCATCAAAGAAAATTTTTTTGGAAAGAATATGAAGATCTCCATAAGGCACATAAAGAAAAGAGAAAATATAGGACCGAATTATCATGTTTCTTTCTCTCTAATATGTTATGACAGCTTCAAAATTATGAGGAGAGATGAAGGAAAAACAAATGGAGAAGATCTCCTAGAAACAATAGTGATAGAAAAATAACTCTTAATTGAAGCAAAAGAATTAAAGCAAGAGTACTCAGACGAAGAATCAAGTTCTTCAAGTAATGTGAAGATTGAAGAAAGATCAGAATCCTCCCTGGAGAAAGAGGTGAAAATATAAATGAAAGGGGTTTATCAAAGTACCTTTGCTGAGTTTGTAATACTCTATGAATTTCTTGGACTTTTCACAAAGTCATTTTCAGATAATTGAAATTTCAACAGCTAAAGAAGTATGCCATAACCTTGCTAAAAATATTCGAAATATACACCAAAATGTGTTAATTTAAATAATCCTCAAAAAGGATATTCATGCAAGATAAAATATGATATATTTAGAGCTTCTATTGGACTGGATACATATGAGAACTTTGTTTACAGAGAACTAAAGATATCCCCTCAACTATTACTAACTCATGAGTTACTAAGCTATGTATGGATTGGAACATATATAATATTAGACATTTTTGGCCAAAAACTCCAGAGGGTAATAAAACATGTATTAACCCCTTCAACAAGAGCAATGCAAGTCTACATTGATTATGCATAATCAGAATATAATGAGGAAAGAATTAAACCAAGCAAACATATATATGAAATAAGAATTATGGAGAGCAATATTGACTATGAATATTTCTCAATCTACATCTGGGAGAAATTCTGGAATTTAGGATTTGACATTCCTCTTATAACTCAAGTAGATCACTTGAGATATATAGTACAAAGTTCCGACTAGTTCTAAAAATATGGAAGGGATAATTTTATGTATAAACTAGTTGGAGAAACCCCCATTAGAGAAAATATACTTAGACACTTCATTAGCCAAAAATTATTTTTAAACTTTTGACTATAAAACTAAAAATATAGAATAAGTGAAATATTACAAAATGATGAAACTAAATGATCTCAATCAAACAGTAGAGAAAATATTTGATCTACTAGAAATGCAATTTTGAATACTGCCAACAGATGACGATCAAGCCTGATACAGCTAAGATACGCATTTTCTAACTATGCAGGTAATAATTTCGAAGACAAAAAATTGTAAGTATAGTGGGCCCCACAGAACTATGCGGATAAATAGTACTGTTACTATTCATATATACGCAATACTTCTAGAAGGTGATGAATACCCAACATGAGAAATTTACCTCATCCAAGTATTCCTTTTAAAAGTAAATCATGAAAGAGAAAGATGACAAAGAAATCTTTTTTACTACTATTTGTCACTATTTGTAGTTATTATAATTAAATTTTCTAAACCATGATAAGGTGTGTTTAACCATGGAAGTGAAGTTTATAATAATGAGATAAACTCTATAAATACCTATGAGAGCGTGCTTGTAAGATTTAAAAAAGAGTGAGCTTGAGAAGAACTTAAGAAAAACACTGAGGGAAAAATAAGCTTGTATGAGAGAAAAAGAGGGAGATAAGTGAGAGAAAAGAAAGAAAATTTTCTCTTATAAATAGTTGTCTAGTCGTGTCCAAGTCTTGGAGTAGAGAAGAAAAACTTCTCAATGTTTGTAATACATCTTTTATCATAGTTTCAATCCATATCTTTCTACATGTCTTCTTAACCTTCCTTTCTTTACTTTTTCTTTTCTTGAGTCATGAAAATAATTATCTTTCTATCTTGGAGACACATTGTATGAAAGTATTATTTTCAGTCTACTAATAGATCGGTTCAGTAAATATCCACTTTGGTTCTCGTTTAAGGAAAGTGGCTATTTGAGGGATATTTATAAGGTTAACTGCTTGGGTGAGGTTTTACAAAGTGCTAAAATAATATCGTAAGATTTTCATACTTTAAATCTAAAGGGTAAAAAAACTCCATAATAAAACTATAATATCAAAAGAAACGAATGGAGAAGTATCCGTACTTCGGGTTGATATCATCACCATATAAAATCTTTAAATAAAAAAAGAATAATTCTCTTCGAACTCAAAATACTGCTAACAGGGAACACAACTTTGAAGAACAAATCCTTTGAGATTGTTTGACTACTAACACTTATTTCTTTCTTATTTTATTTTATTTTATTTCCGCTGCTTACTAACTATTTTATTTTCTTATACTTTTATTTTCTGCAATTTTTTTCCAATTATTTTCTTTCATCTTCATGGCCGGCTGAGCCGTCTGCAATTTTTTTTTCTGTAATTTTTTTTTCTGTATATTTTTATTTTCTATTATTTTAATTCGGCGTGCTAACTCTTTATAAATATTAATAATAAAAAGTCTTTAATGGATGACCCTTCCGCCTAAGGCTAAAAATATTGTATTAACACTTCTATAAGGTTCTTGTTTATTAAATTTTGCTGTTTATTAATCATTCAAGTTCTTGTCCATACAAAAAAGTTATTGTTCATCTCTCTCATCATCACAAATGGAAGAGAGGATGTTTCGCTGTTTGATTGAATCACACAGGATGCTCAAGCAGTTACTTGCCATTTGTTAAGGATCTGCATGCCCTGTAAAGCTCCTACCATTTGTTAAAGATCTAAATGCATCATAAAGCTCTTGTCATTTGACACAAAACTAAAATCCCACATGCCGCAGCCTGAGTTTTTATAATTTATATGATTTGTAGGGCACTTCTTTGGCTAATTTGTGAGTTAAAATTGAGTTTGGAACAATTTAATTTAAGCCTAGTCAATTTTCAACAGATGTCGCATTTTCCATAGCTTATCAAAATTTTGCCCGACACTATTAAGGCAGACTGGCCCTTTAGTCACTATTGAAAGAGTTTCTTTGGCCATTATTGCCTGCACACTATTGAATGTGGGCTGCAGTTTGCACATTGATAGAGATATTAATTGATGCTTACAGGAACAGAATAAGAATGTTCGATCTACAAGTATAATTAGGCCACTTACAGAGTATGCCAAATAAAAGCTGAGATCTAATTTTCTTGGAAAATAGCTATCTATTAAGCACTTGATAGTCACTTAAGATACTTATTGATTCTAACGTAATACGCTATCACCTATTACAATTATTAGTACTAGCATTATCTACTATCTCATAAGTCATTACAAATCCCTATGATACACAAACAGTTCGTTTAGAGAGAGCAAAGGATAAAAGGGAGTGATAGAGGTGGGCATTAATTATCTCGCCATAACAAACTTTAAACAAGACTGAAAGTGTCATTGCTACAAGTTCTTAATAATGGCCAAGATCTAGGTTTGCATTAAGGAAGATAGTACATGGCATAATAAATTAGATGAAATACAAAAGTTTGGTAAAATCATAGATGCATACTCATATTTATTGAGTTAGGTTAATAAAGCTATCATAAGAATCAAAATTGGGTTAAAAAGATCAACTATTATGTACTAGCTTGAACTACCTACAACTCTAAACTCATCAAGCTTCAAGTCAACAAAGACTCAAGTCGCTTAGAGCTAAATCTAATCAATTCGCCAAAAAATCAATACTGAGCTCGCTCAATGATTCATGAAGTCACTCAATAACCAATGTTATTTACCCAAGGGACCCCAAGGACGCACCAACTGACTAGAGGTACGTCGTATGCATAAGGTACTTAATATCAATTTAGAACTTTTGACCAAAGTTCACAACTAAAAAAAATAACAAGCTAGGCCCACCCATTACACTTCTAGCTACATTGAATCCAAATCATATATTTTCTATGCAATCGCACAATATAGCTGATAGGACACACTTGTAGATCTTTAAGTGAAGCTTATCAATCTTGGGAAATCAGCGAGAACTCACCTCAAATCTCCAAACAAAACAAAAAAAAATAGTAGCAATTGATAAAAGCGAAAGGAAAACACCAAGATACAATTGATCCTCGATTCGAGAGGAGGATATATCTCTCCCAACTCTCTAAACGCCGCTAGAGCCCAAGAACGCCAAGCACCACCAGAAAATCAGCAATCTCTTCATAATCCTAACCCTAATCCCCCTTACTACATAAAGCAAAACAATTACAAAACAGCCCATGCAAACCCCAAAATTTCCCTAGTTGGCCCCTCCTTTTCCCTCCAAGTTTCAAATAGCTTGGCGAGGGGGGGGAGGAGCCGTACCAAAGGCGGAATCTTGGTCCGCCTTGCGTAAAATTGGGTCGGCCCTTTGCCTAGGGCCAACTAGACCGAACTAACAATACCCCCCCTCCCAAAGAATCTTTTTGTACTCAAGATGAAAGGATGGAAACTGATGCACCACTCTCTCATATGCCTCCTAGGTGGCATCGTAGTCCGGTAGGCTCTTCCTTTTAATCATAACCTCCTTAGTCCCCTCTTCTCCCTAACGAACCGCCATCAACTACAGTAAATCTAATACCACCTCCAAGTCCTTTGTTAGTGTCACGGGTAACTCAGAACTAGCTACATGATCCCCAATTTTTCTCCTCAGTTCTGACACGTAGAACACGAGATGTATAGTCGCAGTTGATGGTAATCTCAATCGATACCTCATATGGCCCAAAGTACCTTGGGGCAAGCTTCCCATTCCTCCTGTTAGCGGATGTCCTCTGCCTGAAGGGTCGTAGCTTTAAGAACACCCTCTCCCATACGTCGAACTAGATGTCCTTCATGTGTCCATCCGTCTGTTTCATCATAATCGGTTTTGCCCTTAACAACTGCCTTTTTAGTTTTTCCAACACCTTATCTCTTTCCTCCAAGTATTACTCCACTGAAGAGACTGATGTGCTACTATGCCCAAAATGCACCAAGTGTGGTGGGTCTCGTCCGTACAACATCTTGAATGGGGCCATATGGAAAGCTAAATAATAGAAAGTGTTGTACTAGTATTCCACCCAGGGTAGCCATTTGGCCCACAGCTGAGGTGTCCCCGAAATAAAGCATCGTAGGTATGTCTCCAGCCTCCTGTTTACCACCTCCATCGGCCCATCTGTCTGCGGGTGATAAGCGGTGCTACTCTTCAATACGATCCCCTACAGCCTGAAAAACTCCCTCCAAAAGTGGCTGAGGAACACCTTATCCCGATCGAATAATATGGACTCTGGTATCCCATACAGTCTGACCATCTCTCTAATGAACACTGCTGCAACCATGTAGGGATGTCGTAGGGGAATAAATTGAGCATACTTACTCAATCTATCCACTACCACAAGAATTACTATAAACCCTTCAGATTAGGGAAGCCCATCTACAAAATCCATAGAGACCTCCTCCCACACCCGATCTAGTAAAGCTAGGGGCTGCAATAATCCTCCTGGAGTAATGGACATGTACTTATTCCTCTTACAGACTTTACAAATGGCTACCAACTCCTCAAAATCCTTATGCATCCCCTTCCAATACAACTCTAAGGCGAGTCTCTTGTACATCTTCTGCACCACTGAATGGCCCCCAATAGCGCTCCCATGGAACTCATGGAGTAGGTGTGGAATATGGATTGACGTCCTAGGTATCATAGATCTCCCCTGGTACAACGCCTCTACCCCTGTAAAGAATAGCCAGGGTGGCTACTCCCATTCTTCAGTAAGTATGCCCTAATCATCCCTATCTCCTCACCTTGTGCATTCTCCTCCTTAATGGCGGCCCCTCAATCTAGCATGAGGGGTATGGATACGGCCATCCCTTAAAGCTCTCCCATATATCCGGATAAGGCATCTACCGCCTTGTTCTCTATCTCGGGCATGTACTAGATTTCAACATCATATCCCAATAACTTTGACATGCATCTCTGGTGCTCATCTGTCACCATCCTCTGCTCCAAAATTAATTTTAAGCTCAGCTGGTCCATCCTGAAAATAAAAATATGACCTAATAAGTAAGGTTGCCACTTTTGGATGGCTAGCACAATAGTCATAAACTCCCTCTCCTAGACTAACTTCAGCCTGACTCTAACTGTCAACACCTAGCCAAAGTAAGCAATAGTCGGTGGCTCTGTATGAGGACTGCCCCCAATCTATACCCTGATTTGTTCATCTCTAATACGAAAACCGGACTGAAATTTGGCAGGGCCAAGACCGATACAACGATCATGACGGTCATGGCCTTCTTCAAACTCTCAAAATTTGCGATGGTCGCCTCCCCCCAGAAGTTGTCCTTCTTTAATTGTTTTTTCATTGGTCAAGTGATGGTGTTATAGCCTCTTACGAACCTCCTATATTATCCTGTCATCCCTAAAAAACCCCTCAGCTCCCTCAGATTCCGTGGTAGCGACCATCTCAACATAGCCTAAATTTTAGCCTGATCCGCAGCCACCTCCTCTTGTGATACTACATGTCCCAAGTATTTCACACTTGCCTGGGTAAAGCAACACTTCTTTAAATTGGACCTTAGTTGTTGCTCCTATAACACATCTAGAATCGTCCTCAAGTGCTCCCAATGTTCCTCATCTGACCTACTATGCACCAAGATACAATCAAAGAAAACCAACAAAAATTTTCTGGGATAGGGTCGGAACACCCTATTTATGAGGGACTAGAGTGTAGGTGGGGCATTTGGTGAGGCCAAAGGGCTTCACCAGAAACTCATAATATCCCTCAGGCCTTTTGAAAGCAGTCTTTGGAACATCCTCCCCTTTCAGTCGAATCTGATGGTATCCGGACTTCAGATCTATCTTGGTGAAGATAAATGCCCCACAGCTCATTCAATAGTTCATCTATCACTGAGATGCGAAACTTGTCTAGTACAATCTCCATATTCAAAGCCCAGTAGTCCACACAGAACCCCCAACTCTCGTCATTTTTCTTAACCAGTAAAACTAGGTTAAAAAAGAGCTCATACTAGGCCTGATAATCATTGCCACCAGTATTTCTCTAATCAACTTCTCAATTTCATCCTTCTAAAATTGAGGGTAACGGTACGGTCTGACACTGATGGGCGACACCTCCTTCAGAGTGATGCCATGCTCCTGTTCCTAGGTGATTTCAATCCATGAGATGGCTAAAAGACCTCACTGAATTGTTGTATCAACAGTTGTGCTGAAGGAGGAATGTCTCCACCCCCCTCCAATCAAAACCCCTTTAATCTCTATAGCTCCACCAAGAATCCTCCCCCACCTCCTGTATGGTCTTCATTATGATTTTGAGGGACACCATGGCTTTCGATAACCCCGCATCTCCCCTGATCACTATTCTTCTCCCATCCACCACCAACTCCATGGTCAATGCTCCCCTGTTTACCTTGGTATTTCCCAAGGTCTACAGCCACTTCATCCCCAAGATGACATCAGTGCTTCCTAGCTTCAACGGGAAGAAATCCTCCATCGCCTGAATTCCCTGTATGGTCAACACCACTCCCCTATAGATGCCCTTACCCATCTCCACCTTCCTCGTACCCATCATCACTTCATAGCACCCTGTATCCGCCAATGTCACCCTTAATTGGTCCATGAACTAGTTGGAGATGAAATTGTGGGTGGCCCCACTGTCAATCAACATCACCACATTCATGTCTGTTATTTCTCCCTTTACCTTCATGGTATGATTCGGAGTGAATCCTACCACTGAGTTCAGGGAGACTTCTGTCGAGTCTAGATGCAGTTTATCCTCCTCCTCTATCACTGTCTCACTCCCACCTCCCTCCTCAACTTTCTCTTCATCACAAATGATGAGAACCTAAAGAGTTCAGTCGATGCACCTGTGCCCCAGAGTATACTTCTCATCACATCTAAAGAATAATCCATTTGCCCTCATTTCCTGCACATCCCTCTCAGTCAGCTTTTTTAAATTTCCCATATTTCCTCCTACAGGTTTCTCTCTTGGGGTCTCATGAAGGTTGCCCGGCGTAGGCCCATTGGGTGCTAAGAAAATGTGGTCATCCTGTATGAGCCACTTGAACTGCTATCATTGATACACGAATCTTTGTTAGACTCAAAAATCCAAATTTCAACCCAAAAAACAGCAAAAAATCATTGTTCAGAAGAGAACTGTTGCAAGAAAATGCCAAAAACAGCTCAAAATAGCCCGGCAAGCAGCTCTGATACCAATTTGATAGGACAAACTTGTAGATCTTTAAGTGAAACTTATCGATCTTGGGAAACCAACGAGAACTCACCACAAATCTCCAAACAAAACCAAGAAAAACAGTAGTAATATTGTAGTAATTAATCAAAACATAATGAAAACACCAAGATACAATTGAACATTGATTCAAGAGGATGATCTCTCTCCCCACTCTCTAGACGCCACTAGAGCCCAAGAACGCTAAGCACCAATAAAAACTCAGCAATCCCTTCAGAAGTCTAACCCTAATCCCCCCTTACTACATAAAGCAAAATAATTAAAATTAAAAAATAATAATAATAAAGCAAAACAATTAACAAAAGCAAATTACAAAACACCCTATGCAAACCACAAATTTGCCCTAGTCAGCACCTCCTTTTCCCTCCAAGTTTCAAGTAGTGGGCCCCCCAAGGGAGTCGGCTATACCAAAGGCAAAACCTTGGTTCGCCTTAAGTAAAGCTGGACCATTCCCTTGCCTAGGGCCGGCTGGACCAGTCTAACAGTAGCCAATTATGTAGCATGGACCTTAGTCATCACCAACAATTAGGGAGTCATTAGTCAAATACAGGCATCACATGACTTGCACTATATGTTGAAACTCTACCACATTGAATTCTTTCTCATGCTCTTTCTAGAATTCTCCATAGAATCTATTTCTCTTTAAATTTTCTCAATTACAAAGTTTGACTCTCCCTCCTTTATTAAAAGGGTTAAATCACTTAAGAGAACTATTGAGGCCTATTCTGTCTATTCCTCATCCCTCTCGCTCTCTGGACTCAATTTATATCTCATAGTTTTGATATATTTCCGCATACAACATTAGATCCAACATCCTCTTAGCTACGTGAGTGTGTATATGTGGAAAACAAAGAAGAAAGGGGAAAAGGTCCTAGCAAAACAAGTGACTTAAGAACTTGATAATATAGCATCTCAAATATAGGAAGAGGGTCAAGTTCCTTGCAAAACAAGTGACTTAAGAAATATGTGACCTTTAAGAATTTGCAAAACATGAGGGATCCTATTATGACAATGACCCAAAGGATCTTTTAAACCTTTCTACAGGTCGATCTTTTCAACTATTCTCCTTGAGATTGCAAATTAGCTATCCCTCCAAGGTAGTGCCATCACCTCAGCCCTAGAAATGTTGCTCTGGCTCTTCTAAACAATGGGCCCCACCTCCTAGAGGATAGTAGAATGAAGATGGCTCTCCCCCGTTGCCCAAAAAAGCATCAAGATCAGCCTAAAAAAGGCTTTTTTATTAGAAGATCATGAAGGCTCAACCGCAACAAAAATTCAACATGCCAGTGCAAGATTCCTACAGAGCAAAGTAGGAATGGGTAGAAAAACTTTCTCCTCAACATCAACAATGCGTATTGCAGGTTCCTCTTCAACACTTTCAAGGAGGCGCCACTGTAATAGTTCTCATGTCTTCCTCTGGGGAGCATCAACTCCTTTTCTACTTTCAACTTGTAGTCTGCCATGCAATTTGTTACTACTTGAAGGCCATTGAAAAATTCACAAACTATAGTGAATATAAGGTAATAGCATAGAAAGTCACCTTGTCATTTTGTTACTTCCACAAGGAAATATTGAATGTCTAAGACATAAAGCTTGTTTTTGCCCAAGCAACACTCACTAAGGGCTCTTGAAAGGCCCTTTCTGCCATGTTACAGGCTCGAAGTAACCGAAGCCACTGATCAGGTTGCCCAAGTTGGCCAACAATCACATTAATATGGAGTACAATCGCATGACTTCAACTGCTAGCTTCAAGGAGCCTAATGTCCCTAGCAGCACTCACTTAGGGCTTCTAAAAAGCCTTATTTGATATGTTCTCAACTTAAGTTGTCGAAGACATTGGCCAAATTGCTCGGGTTGGCAAGAAATCAAATTAATGTAGAGTACAACCAGATGAATTCAGCTTCGACCTGCAACTGGATCTATCTAGACTCACAAGGGAGTCAAAATCTACAGAACAAATTGCGCAATAATAAACATAAGTCAACTGATAAGCCATTCCATCCGGCCAACTACAACATCACTAAGGATTTTCCCCCAAGAAGCAATAAAGGGCTTGTCGAACTACAACCCCATGAAAAGATCGAGTTTTCCTCTATAAGAAAAGTACTTGATGTACAAACTTTACTCTCAGTGTCTTTAACAAAAATTGTAGATGCCACAGCGCGTACTTCCTATGGTCCATCAAAATATTGCACCTTTAATAAAGATCATGGTCAGAATATAGAAGGATGTCGCCACCTCTGTAGCCTTGTCACTTATCCACGTTGACAAATTGAAAGATTGTATTTGTTGACCCATGAAGACAAGCTAACAAGGCATCGATTGAGGAAAACAAGAACGAGCACGTCCAAACACATATAACAGGGGTCATCCCAATGATTCTTGGAAAAGTCAGAGCAGAAGCATTAAGGTAGACATAAGGTTGTAAAAACTAGACTATAGATAGAATCGAAAGAATGAGAGATTCAAAATTCAATGGTTTGACCAAAGTTAAATCGAAGTTGAATAAGATGACATAATAAATATTAAAATTATTCAATTATTATATAAATTATATAATAACTAAAGTTTTTAAAAGTGAATATGCCTCAATTAAGATTCTTGAACAACCTCGATCAAAGAGATATAAAGTGTGATAAGAAGCTTGATTAACCATTAACTTGGAGTAGAGATAATATGACAAGAAAGTATCCCTCATGAATCTTATAAACTATATTCCTAATCAATGAAATGAAAATAAATCAACTGCAGAGTCAATCATTTTCTTTTCTTTACAGAAGAAATTTTTGGGATCATGTAAAACTCAAAACATATAAAAATCTTTAGTAAATCTATCATGATCAAATTAGACTTGGAGAACTCATCCTTTAGAAAATGCAAACTCATATTCAAGAAATCATCAAATACGTCATATTTTGATAACTTGCTATATAATTAATTCAAGAACATGCTATACTCGAGGAACCCATCCCCAAGAAAATAGATAATTCAACATGTACTAAAAATTTGACAACTCACCACACTCAAATAATTTATCCCCAATGCGTTCAACTTGTCAGTTAACACTTTGAAAATAATTCAATAATTGTTAATTCATGAGGAACTCAACAATCCTGAGTATGAAAGGAAATTCATCAACTTGTATTCAAGAAAAAGTAGGCAATTCCTTATGCTTAAGAACTCAATCTGAGAAGAATTCATTTATTCAAAGGAATACAACTTAAAAATTCCATATAATCAAGAAATTGCTGAGAAATTTGATCTTCAAGTCAACGCATAATTTACTACTTGGGAGATGTCCAAAGTCAAAGCTAAGAAAATATTGATAATGACAAATATGATAAAATCAGATAAACCTATTTCCTTGATGTATACTTAATTAGTTAATAAAGAGACTAACTAACATTAACAGAAGACTTACAGAGTCACTACCTAAAACAAGTAAGAAACTGAAGACTACTTCTTGCAAGCAAGCTATGGCCCATAAGTAGACAACCCATCTACAATTGAAGAAATCGCTCTAACCTTAAATTACAGCATGAGTTTTATTCAAGTAAAAATAAATAAATATGATGAATCTACTAATATAACTATATTCAATATTTATTTCAAGCCGTCGAAGATTTCTATTCCCCAAGTCGATCATGATAAAAAACTATAGCTCATACAGTATTCATTTATTATTTAAAGACTTCAATTCACTATTTGATATTCGGTGGAATCTCCAAAAAATCATTATCTACTTGTTACTCATTATTCACTACTAACTACTTGATTTTATCTGCAAGTTCAAACTTGAAATTTATTCATCATTAATCAATCAGTGACTTCTACTTCTTGATATTCAATTATACATATCAAAGTTGTATTACAAATATAACATTAAATTCCGAAAAAACCTAAAGATGAAAATTTGAAACCCTAAAAGTCAAACTACCCTATTGTGATCAGATTTGCATTGCGTGAAAAAAGTCCACTCTAGTGGAAATTCAAGATATGGTTACCCAACAAAGATGAAAGCTTTGGCATAAAATGAGGCCAATTTAATGAGGCAGTGACTTATCATCAAATAATATACAAATGATAAAAAGCCAAGAGTTGGGATGATGTTAGGCCGGTCCAACCTGGACCGGTCCAACCTGGACCGGCCCAACCTGGACCGGCCC